ATTGACTCAGTCTTCCATCCTTCCGAGGTCAGTAAAATGAGGAGCCAGATTGTTGGGGTCGCTTAGAGAGGGTTGTAAAAGCATTGTGGATATATAAGTATATATGTCTAAATGCTATTGCGACCTTGACCGGTGAGGTTGTAGCTGCCGTCGCTGCTTGAGGCTCCATCACTGCAAGATCATTTCTTTCCTCTTTCATTTCGGGAAGCTGAAATTGTTCCCGGGATGAAGATGCTGCCAAGGGAGAAAGAAGAATAATTTTAAAAAAAGATGAAACGGCTTCATTCCACCATGTATTATCTTAGCATCCCTCTCAAATCCAAGCCTTTCATGCTTCCCCAACAGATCTCAGTCAACATCCTCCAACCACATCAGGAGCCACCTCTGACTCCAGGTAAGGGAATCCTTGAACCCAAACCGCTTCACTTACTGCTCTTCTTCTTCCAGCAATAAAAGGCAAATGGAACCAGCAGGATTATAAGAGGAATCGGCATCCAGGAATGTCTCCATATAGGATCTGAATCTTGGGTACCAACTGGTTTGAGTAAGAAACAAAAAGGATGATTTAATATTTCTGGGCAGAAAGTCTGCCTTGTCCTTCAAGGTTTAGATCCTATTAAATATATAAATGAAACAGACTTTTTTTTAAAAAAAAATCAAATTCAGTTCTGGATTTTTCATGGACGTCTCTGTGGAGCTAGTTAACAATCCCACAAAAGCCATTTGCCTTTTTCCAGGACTTTCTTTGTCCTTCCTAGTCTAACCTGTGGTGGTGGGATTTGCTCATGGCGTCATACCAGGGGTGAAATGCTACTGGTTCGCACCGGTTCGGGCAAACCACTAGTAAAAAAATAATCAGTTCTGGCGAATTGGTATTTCTGACAATCAGCTATGCCGCACGATTTAGATCCACTAGAAAGCAGGAAATCCTGCTTTCTAGCAAATCTAAATCGCGAGGTGCAGCTGTTCTCCCCCTCGCTGTTCAACTTACCTTGTTAAACCTTCTCTTTCCATGTAAAGCAGAGATGGGTTTCAGCAGATTCTGACCAGTTCTGGAGAACCGGTAGTGGAAATTTTGTGTAGTTTGGAGAACCGGTACTAAAAATTCTAACTGGCCCTGCCCCCATCTATTCTCTGCCTCCCGTGTCCCAGCTGATCGGGAGGAAATGGGATTTTGCAGTATCCTTCCCTCAGAGAGGGATGGGAATGGAGATTTTACAGTATCCTTCCCCTGCCACGCTCACCAAGCCACGCCCACCAAGCCATGCCACACTGCTGGTAAAAAAAATTGAAACCTACCACTGGTGCAAAGCGTGCATTTGGCACACACTGAGCATGCCCAGGCAGCGAACTGGTGGCAAGAGGATTTCACCACTGCCTCACACCCAAGAATTAATCACACCCAATCTTCCTCCAACTGGCTCACCTGTGATGTTTGTCCCCTGACTCAAAGGAGACGTGACCCATCGGTCGCTTCTCTTTTCTTCATAACTGCAAGCAAATTCCCCATTGTGGTTGAACGAGGCATGAGGGATTCTCAGAGAGGCATTTTGAAGAGGATTTGTGGGTTCACTGGAGGGTTCCAGAAGACCTTCTACACTGGAGGTGATCTCCACCCCATCCTTGTAGAAATGGAACTTCTTCTCTGCCTTGTCTCCTTCCATTGAGCAGAGGAAGAGCAAGGGGTCACCTTCCTTCACCCTCTGGGACAACGGATCCACCCTCAGCACTGGGGAAGGGGGGACCTCTGCAAGAAAGGTTCACAAGGAATATACCAGGGGTGAAATCCAGCAGGTTCTGACAGGTTCTGGAGAACCAGTAGTGGAAATTTTGAGTAGTTCGTAGAACCGGTAGTGGAAATTTTGAGTAGTTCGGAGAACCGGCAAATGCCACCTCTGGCTGGCCCCAGAGTGGGGTGGGAATGGAGATTTTGCAATATCCTTCCCCCGGAGTGGGATGGGAATGGAGATTTTGCAGTATCCTTCCCTTGCTACGCCCACTAAGCCACGCCCATAGAACCAGTAGTAAAAAAAATTGGATTTCACCACTGGAATATACATATATTCGGTCTGTCTTGATTTTAGGGTTAGTTTTAAAATTTTAATATTGATTTTAATTGACAAGTTTTAAATTATGGGCCAAATTTATAAATTATTTTAACTTTATTTTAACTGTGATGTTTTGTATAGATGTTTTTATCTTGGCTGTTCACCGCCCTGAGTCCGAAAGGAGAAGGGCGGTATAGAAATTTGAATAAAGTAAAGTAAAGTAAATATATACCTCCTTGGACCTAAGGTACCATTTGTGTGAAGCAAAGCAGTAATATTTTGGATAATGGAGATTAAAATAACTCTGTTATTCTATTCTATTCTATTCTATTCTATTCTATTCTATTCTATTCTATTCTATTCTAATAGGGTTTTTCCTGGAGGCATTATTTATTTATCTATGGTTTTAATTGTTTGAGATTTATTTCAATGGGTTAATTTTTGAAAGGTTTATTGTGCATTGTATTAGAATGAACATTAACAGTGCCCTTGATGTGACTATTGCTAGGCAAAAATTATTTCTCTTACCGACGAGTGAGAACACCAGCTGGTTACTGATGGGCCATCTTGTAGATGTTTCCTGGAACTTGCATAGACATATTATCTTTACTGGGTCTGACTTCAGATCTGCAGTCTTGAAAATCAAGGTACTTGTAGGCAGGTGTTTATATTCGATTGTAAAATCTGATTGATCCTTGCAGTAGAAAAAGAACATTTCTGTCCGAGATCCCTCGGGGAGGGAGCATTTCAAGGGAATCTCTTCTCCTTTAATGATGGTGGCATGCGGAAGAGTTGTGGACAGCCTGGGGGTCGGTAAAGATGAATCTGTCCGTCAACCAAAGGAAAGAAAGAGAAGCCATTGAGTCCTTCCTTCTGATCTCCTCCTGGAAACCAAATCTCTACATGAGAACATCCAACCCTATTCCCAGAATGGCTCCCATGATCCCTAATCTGCTCCGGGAATTCCTCAATTCAGCAATACATTTTCTCTGCAATTGCAACATTCAGTACATCCAGATTCCTCAGGCCTCCTTCTGTGTCATGTCCAATTATGCCATTCCAATTTATCTCATCTCACCCGAATGGCTTCTTCAAGCTCCTTGGAGGTCAGATTCTTTTCTCCTCAGAGTGGAACTTCCTACAAGAGCTGTGATCGCTAGAGCAGGGGTCTGCAACCTTAAATACTCCAAGAGCCATTTGGACCCGTTTCCCACAGAAAAGAAAACAGCGGGAGCCACAAAACCTGGGTGGGTGTAGCCAGCTTGATGTCACTAACTTCCACCAGTCACATGACACCCCACCTAGTCACGCCTACCCAGCCGGTCATTAGGGCAGAGAATCAGTTGTTAAAAAACACCGGGAACCACAAAATCCTTTTGACATCTCTCTCTCCCCCCTCCCTCCCTCCCTCCCTCCCTCCCTCTCTGTATCTCTCTATGTCTCTCTCTCTCTCTCCCCCTCTCTCTGTATCTCCCTGTCTCTGCCCTGGCTGCTTCTCCATCCCCCACCGTCACCCTTACCTTCTCAGGCCAAGTGTTCTGATGGGCTGTTGTGGCTCCGTTACCTGAGCCTGTGTCATCATCAGGAGAGGACTCCGAGAGTGAAGGGGAGGAGTTGGCAAGGCCTCTCTCTCCAGGACCCTCCTCTCTGGCAATGCCTTCAGTGTCCGCCAAAGGGCAAGAGATAGGGCTGGGGCCAAGCACATCCACGCAGCCACAGATGGACAGTGATGAGGGAAATGAGTCTTGGCTGGATCCACACCAGCATTGCAGAGATAAGCGCGCGCAACAGAAGAAAAGGCGTGCCCGAGATTAGGCTGAGTCACTGGACCACACCCCACAGGATATAAAAGGGAGCGTGGTGGCCAGTCAAACCTTGTGACGAACAAAGCTGAAAGCTTCCACGCCATTCTGCATTGCCGGACTTTTGCTTTAAGACTTTGCTGGAGTATCTCTGGACTTGATTTAATTCCATAATTATTGAGCTGCTTTCCTTTGACGTATCAGAAGTGGGGAGAAGTTATCTCTCCTCTTCATAAATAATAAACTCTTGGCAGGCAGCCACTAGGTTGTTGCCAAGTTCCGTTATCATAAGGAAAAGGATTTTGCCGGCTGGTTTGGTCTTTAACTCCTGAACGTCTGTTGGTGTGTGTGCCTGGGGTTGGGGACAGAACACGGGCAACAACACCAGGTGAGGAGTGACTGAGAGGGGAGGGCGAGGGGCGAGGCCAGCCAGTGGTGGGATCACCTGACAGGGAGCCACAGCAGAGGTCCCAAAGAGCCGCATGCAGCTCCAGAGCCGCAGGTTGCTGATTCCTGCTCTAGAGCTTCTCCTCAAGAAACATCCTGCAATGTCCATCTTTCAATCAAATGTTCATCCTCTTCTGAACCCTCTAAAACACTAAACCGCAAATTCATCAGTGCCCACTTAATAGCATCTCTGACTGGCCTTGTTGTCTTGGGCTTCAGGATTAACTTCCTGTATCTTCTCTGGGCTTGGCAGCCCATGCTCCACGTTATATTGGGAGAAGAAGAACTTGAGGGGGACATTTTTTCCAAGGAAACTACTTAGATTCATCAGGATCACGGCCATCTACAGATGCCTCCTGAAGAGGCTGGATCCACCCTTTCCACCAACCCAAGTGGAAAAGAACAGCCAATCAGCTACGTACACAGAGATGGATTTTTTTTTTCTCCTTCAGCATCTCTCATTGGGCTTTCGGTTTCATTTCAACTTCTCCTGACGACAACAATGGCAGTCTACTTATTAGAAATAGAAGCAAAGTTTGCATGAAAGTCTCTTACCTGCTCCCAGGAGGATCCTTGAAAAGACTGAAAGAGAGAAGGAGGGAAGGTGGAGTTAAGAAAAGGAGAGATGATTCCAGGCTCTGCAAGACTTTCATCCCTACCATCTCACCCGAATCTTCTTCCCTGAATAGATTCAGCAGACGAGATGAAGGAGGAGGAAGAAGGTGCCTTCTCCCACCCATGTTCTGGCCATTGGGGGGTGGGTGGGTGATAAGAGTCCCCAAACCATCCTTACCATAGTTGGAATTACCGTTAAGAACAGAAATGGGGTCCAGGAGGACTTTCTCTCTGAAGTTCAGCTGTTCTGATGTCTTCAGTTCTCAATCATTTGAGAAGAGCAGGTGGGAGAAAAAGGGAGGCTTCTCATACTCAACACCCTTCACTGCGACCCACAGAATGACCCACTTTCATTTCCCCAACTTCCTTTCTCTTCTATTGAAAATGAAGCTACAGTTTTGGGCCTTCTTCTGGTTTTTTTTCGGTGGGACGAAGAGAGATAGCTCTTCATCCCCTCCCTCAATGCCCCTTAGTTGAGATGGTTGTGAATCAAGAGAACTGGGGATACAATTGATGGGAGGAGAGGCAAGAAAATACCCCATGGCTCATATTATTCCCCACCAAGAAAGCTCGATTTTCCTGAGAAGGATCTAGAAGAAGAAAAGGAGTTGGGAATAAAGCAACCAGCTCTTCGGTGAGGCTAAGAGTCAGATTGAGATGGAGGAAGAAGTAGGAAGTCCCAAACCTATCATCCAAGAGATGGTCTCCATCTTCACTTCAGAATTTCTGGGCAGCTGGTCTTGGCCTCTCCGTCACTCTCGTCTTCTTTCTCCAGAGTGATTCAAACCTGCAACTTCTCTTGAGTCAGTCCTCCAACTCAAGGACCAAGGCAGGAACTGCGTCATTCCACCAGCCCATCTCAACGCCCCGGCCCCCTTCACCACACCAAAGCCTTCCTCTGTGCAGCTACTCTCTGTCCCCATTCTCCTGGCCTCTCTTGCACCCAAAGAGAATTTGAAATAAAAATTGTTCTGCTCTTTTGCAAGGACTAAACGCCATCTCTGTCTTTCCGGTTTGATCAGCTCCACTTCTTGTCCTAAGCCACGCCTCGTGGATCCACAGACAGATAGAATAAAACATATGATAAAAGTATTAATTATGAACAAAATAAATTTGCAAAAAGCAATTTGTTCTGCAATTTTTTATTTTTTTTTGAAATTGTTGTTTGTGTCTAAAACACCAGAATTACTATCTTCTTTGTGATGGATTTGAAGCACACTAAAACTATCATCTCATTTCAGTAAAGAGTTAAAATTTGTTCCTAGGAGATATCTCCAAGAACTTTGGAATTGAGGCACAAAATATCCTAGACTAGTAAATCAAAAGAATAATTGTTTTAAAAAATGATTTTATCCAGAGTAGAGTGAATGTAGGGATCCAGAAACCGTTCTTGATAAAACCTCTGAATCTGCTCTTGAATTACATTCTGGATTTTACAATGATTCGAAGAAGGGACCCCACCCAGGTTCCTCCTGGTTCGGCCGAGCCGGTAGCAGTGACGATATGACGTCACTGAACCAGTTCTGCCCACCCCCCACCCACCCTAGCCCCCCGCATTATTCTTACCTTTTATTTGGTCCCACCCCCAATCTATTGCTGCCTCCTGAGTCCCAGCTGATGGCTAGAGGGGAAAAAACTGTTTAAACTCTTCAAAGGGCCGCCCCACAGCTGATCAGTGTTAAAAGAAAACAAATGAGTAGACCAGTGCCTGCAAAAATAAATGGGTAGACCAGTGCCTGCAAAAAATAAATGGGTAGACCAGTGTCTGAAAAAATACATGAGTAGATCAGTGCCTGCAAAAAATAAATGGGTAGACCAGTGCCTGCAAAAAATAAATGGGTAGACCAGTGCCTGCAAAAAATAAATCGGTAGACCAGTGCCTGAAAAAATACATGAGTAGATCAGTGCCTGCAAAAATAAATGGGTAGACCAGTGCCTGAAAAAATACATGAGTAGATCAGTGCCTGCAAAAAATAAATGGGTAGACCAGTGCCTGCAAAAATAAATGGGTAGACCAGTGCCTGCAAAAATACATGAGTAGATCAGTGCCTGCAAAAATACATGAGTAGATTGGTATAGCTCTGCAAGCAGTTAAAAGCCTAGTAGACCAGTACCTCTGCTAAAACCTAAATAATTGTCACATGAGCATCAAGCCACGCCCACAAAATAAGCCATGCCCACAGAACCAGTAGTAAAAAAATTTAGAACCCACCCCTTCCTGAAGGTCACCCTGTTGGAAGAAAGACTGGGCGACAACACAAACTACGCTTGAATTATCCGTTAGGAGAACAACTTGCCTAAATTGGATTGGTTACTCTGGAGGAACAGAGTGGCTTCCAGCAATAATACACAGGTAGTCCTCGCTTAGCACCTGAGTCATACAGCAACTATTCACACTTACGATGGGGAGGAAGAAGTAACTTTGCAACCAATCCTCCCATTTAAAACCTTCCACAAAGCAAAGGAAAGCAGAAGTTACATCTTAAACACAGTCACCTTTTCACTTAGTGACAGTCTTGCTCAACGGCTGATCCAATCATGGTCCTTCAATTTGGACTACCTGTATCCTGCTCAGATGAAGGGTTCGTTGGGTCCTTTCTTCATATTATTATAAATCCAAACCTTAATTCAAGAGTGGATTCGTGGATTTAATCGAGAATGTCTTGGGATTACCACATTACTCAAACTAAAATCATTTTAGAGACTCACGAATGAAGGCGAATATATGTGTCCCAGGTTAATGTAGCATTTTAAAGATTATTTGATTTTTATTTACTAGTCCGGGATATTTTTGTCCCCCGATTCCAAAGTTCTTGGAGATACATAATATGTATTGTAGAAACAAATTTTAACTCTTAATTGAATTGAGATGACGGTTGGGTACCCTTCAAACCCATCAAAATTAGGATAATCAGTCTGGTGTTTGAGGCACAACCAGTGATTTTCAGAACTGTTTTAGCAGAACTCGTTGATTTTTTTCCCCCAGAATTAAATTTTTCACAAGTAATTGATTATCCTTCGCTTTATTCTATGCGTCTGTGGCTCCACGATGGAAATAGGTGGTTTAGGAGGAGCAACGCAGCTGATGAGGTCAGGCCCCCAGGGAGGGGTTTGGGCCTTGCAAAAGGAAAGAACAACATGGCTTCTTGGCTTTCACACCTCCCACCTCACCGGATGGCTATTTTTTGTTTAATTTTATTTTTCATTCTCTTTGGGTGCAAGAGAGGTTAGGGAGATGGGCACACTGAGCTGCAGCAGAGAGAAAGGCTTTGGTGTGGTGAAGAAGGCCGGGGAGCCGAGCTGCGTCTTGAGCTGATGGGCGTGGGTGTGATGTCCTTGGTGGGGATGACGCAGTTCCTGCTTTGGCCGTTGAGTTGAAGGACTGACTCAAGAAAAGCTGCAGCTCTTCGTCTCTCTGGGGAAGGAAGACGAGGGTGACGGAGGCCAAGACCGGCTTCCCAGGAATCCTGAAGTGAAGATGGGGACCATCCCTTGGATGACAGGTTTGGGGCCTCCTCCTTCCTCCTCCTCCTCACTCCCATCTAAATCTAATTCTCCTTCTTTCCTGTGCCCAAGATCACTCGGTGATCTGTCCCGGTGCCTGGAAGCCGTGCGGATCTGGATGGGGAGAAACAGGCTCAAACTCAACCCCTCCAAGATTGAGTGGCTGTGGCTTCCGGCGGCCCGGTATAGTCAGCTGTCACCATCGCTGACAATTGGGGGTGAAACCTTGGCCCCCACAGAGAGGGCTCGCAACTTGGGTGTCCTCCTGGATGCACGGCTGTCTTTGGAAGATCATATGACGGCCGTGGCCAGGGGAGCTTTTCATCGGGTTCGCCTGATACACCAGTTGTGTCCCTTTCTGGACCGGGATGCCTTGCGCACAGTCACTCATGCCCTCGTCACGTCCCGTCTGGACTACTGCAACGCTCTCTACATGGGGCTCCCCTTGAAGAGCACTCGGAGGCTCCAGCTGGTCCAGAATGTGGCCGCGTGGGTGGCTATGGGTGCGACTTGGCATACCCATGTAACACCTCTCCTGCGTGAGCTGCACTGGCTTCCGCTGGTCTTCCGAGTGTGATTCAAGGTGTTGGTTACCACCTTTAAAGCGCTCCATGGCTTAGGACCGGGGTATATACAAGACCGCCTTCTGCCAACAACAACCTCCCACCGGCCAATACGCTCCCACAGAGAGGGCCTCCTCAGGGTGCCGTCGGCCAAACAATGCCGACTGGCGACACCCAGGGGGAGAGCCTTCTCTGTGGGGGCACCAGCCCTCTGGAATGAGCTGCCGCTAGAGCTTCGTCTTAGCCCCGACCTGCGCACTTTTCACCGTGCCCTTAAGACCCTTCTGTTTCAGTAAGCCAGACTGTCCTAATATGAATTTTAAATGGGTGTATGTGTGTTTTAAATTGATGGCCAAACTTAATATATCTGATTTTAATTGGTTTTAAATTTTATAAATTCATGTGTTTTAATATGGTTGTACACCGCCCTGAGTCCCTCGGGAGAAGGGCGGTATAGAAATTGAATAAACTTAAACTTAAACTCGACACTCGCATCCTTCTCTTCTTCTAGATCCTTCTGAAAAATTCACTGCTTCCTTCTCCCTTCAGAGTTCTTGCTTGGATCAATCTCCTCCTGGGTAGAAGTCACAAAATGTCATATGGGAAAGTATGGTTAGATGCAGCTCTTCTGCAAGCAAGCAAAGTTACCTTGATGATAACCTTCTGTAGCTTTCTCTTACGATGATGACGTTGATGATGTGATCCATTCAGTCGTCTCCGACTTTTGGCGATTTTATGGGCCATCTCTCTCCACGTCTTTCAATCTTGTTTCTTTGAGTTGTTCTATGCTTTGAAGGTGTCCAACTATTGTGGGTTTTTTGGTGGTCTGGTTTCCTTTTACCGATAACCACCTCCTGTTAGATGAAGCTGAAGCTGTCTATAAAGGAGAATATTTGTAGCTCAGGATTGAAACGAGGGGTCCTTGGTGCTCGCTGAGCTTGGTTCTTTTCTTGCAGACATTTCATGACCCAACTAGGGAACATCATCAGTGGTGGAGGGGAGGGGAGTTTGAGGAAATGTCGAGCACTGATGACGTTACCTAATTTGGATAATGAAACGTCTGCAAGAAAACAACCAAGCTCAGAGAGCACCAAGGACCCTGCAAGAAAGCCGTCATCCTATCTCTTGCAGTGAATAGTAGGAGTGTAGGAGACCTCCTATTTCCACCTTCTGCTCCTACAGAATACAGAAAAACAGAATTGGAAGGGACCTTGGAGGTCTTCTATTCCACCCCCTGATCCAAGTAGGAGACCCTAAACCTTTTCAGTCAAATTCAGACAAATTACAAATTACTGGGGGAAATGGATCATCTTTTCTTTTAATTGCATAAGGGATCAAAGGTGGTTGTCTCTCAAAGTGATTACTTTAATTTACATGAATTTAATGTATGGGTTATCAAGGTTTTAAATTTTTATTTAAAGGTTTTAAATTATTGGGGTTTTAAATTTGTTCAGCCAAATTATTTAATTTGTTTTATTCTATTTTAAATTTTGTATTTATGTGTTTTATTCTATGGCTGTTCACTGCCCTGAGTCCTTCGGGAGTAGGGCGGTATACAAATTCAATAAAATAAATAAATAAAAAATAAAAGGTATTTTTATCCTAGTTCTGAAATCGGGGGGTTTCTTTTAAAAAGTCTCCCATTTCTATGAAATGTAAACCCAATCTTCTTTTCCCTCAAAATCTACTGGCTTTTAGTCCCGTTTTCAAGGTCTCTCTGTATAATGACTTCTCCTTCAGTCTTCCATTTTGAATTTTCTCCCCTTCTTCTTTCTTTTATGCTCTGGGGAGCCCCGTTACGGAAACAGAAACTACCAGTTTTGCACAGAGAACTGAAGAGATTTTTTTGGTATTCTGTTTAAGCCACTTTTGTTTCTTTTCTCTTTCAGTTCTTTTGTGGATGAACCTGGGAGCAGGTAAGACCGATACTTGTGCAGACTTTCTCTGCAGCTACACAATGCTAGATTGGGATGGTTGCTGCCTGTGAAGGAGAGAGAGGTTGAAATGCAGGAGGAGGAAAAATGGCAGAAAGTGGAGGGGGAGTTAAAAAGGCTATCGGCCTAGAATCCCTACGTAGCCACAAGCAAACTAAGTCCAACCTCCCTTGAGTGCTGTTGTCCCTTATCTAACTCTAACCGAGTGCTGGCTTTTCGTTGAGAAGATTCTCATGCATGGGCTTTTAGCAATAAATCAATTTAATTGGATCTTCGGGTGTAGACCTCTTTGTAATGCCTGATACAAAATATTGCAATACCCAAAGCCAAAATATAAATGCACAAGGGGAACTTTGTCCCCTTCTGCATTTGTGATCATTTTTGGGGGGGTTTGGTGTGGGTACAATCCCATCTCCAGAGAGCCATTTGGTCCAGCGGTTAAGCTACTAGGTTAGAAAGTGGGAGACGTGTGAGTTCTAGCTGTGCCTTAAGCACGAAAGCTGGCTGGGTGACTTTGGGCCAATCACCAGGAGACGGTGAGTTCTAGTCCCACCTTCGGTACAAAAGCCATCTGGGTTATTTTGGACCCGTCTCTTTTTTTCTCTCTCTCAGTCCAACCTACCTCACAAGATTGTTGTTGCAGGGAAAATAGGAGGTGGAAGGTGGATATGTTTGCCTTCTTGAATTATTTGTAAAAACAATAAATAAGATATAAATAAATTAGATCGATAGATACAGAGATAGATAGATACAGAGATAGATAGATAGATAGATAGATAGATAGATAGATAGATAGAGACATACATACATACATACATACTCGTGGTGAAATGTAAAATTTGTTACTACCGATTCTGTGGGCGTGGCTTGGTGGGTGGATGGGGTAATGTGACTGGGTGGGCGTGGCCAACTTTTTTAAAAAAACTTTTAAAAGCATTTTTTCTACAACCTCTTTGGCCGAAGAGGTTGTAAAAAATGCTTTTAAAAGGCTCCGACGATCCTAGCTGAGTCGCACGATCATCAGAGGCTTTTTTAAAAAAAACTTTTAAGCAAATTTTTTCTACAACCTCACATGACCCCAGTAGAATACAACGGTCATAAGTAGGAGTCAGTTGAAATTATTGGTCTAGAATACAGACATGGTTGGAGGAAATGTTACACAAACCTATAGAATTAAAACCAGAGGTTTTTTTTTTTTTTATTGGGTATTCTGCCAGAGAGATATAGTAAAGAAGATGTGTATTTAATTATACATATAATAAAAGCTGCAAGAATTGTATTTGCGCAAAATCGGAAGACAGAAGAAATCCCATCAGAAAGTGAAGTAATAAAAAAGATTTCAGACTGTGCGGAAATGAATAGATTAACTTTAAAAATAAAAGAATTTCGGTGAATTTCAAGACATGGAGAAGATTTTATGAATGGTTAGGAAAAAAATATGAATAAAAAATGATAGATAAATGAGGGAGATCATAGGAAGGTAAATGATGGAGAGAACAAAAAAAGAAATAGAAACCCAGAAGACACCAGAGTAAATGGAAAAGGGGGAGGGGGGAAAAGAAAGAAGAGTATAAGTACAAACGTACAATTATAATAATAAAAGTGACAGATTGGGTAAAAATGAAAAGAAATTGGGAAAAAAGTATATATTATTAGAATATTGGAGTTGCTCAGATACTAAAGAGGGAATATATTCCACAATAAAGAAGAAAGAAAGGAGAGAGGAATAGAGGGGATGAAGAGGAGAGGAATGGAAGAAGGGGAAAGGAGGGAAAGAAAGGGCAGGGGAGAGGAGAGGAGTAGGAGAGAAGGAGAGAAAGGGGGAAAAGTGGGGAGGAGCGGGGGAAAGGAAGGGAAGTAGGAAAGAGGAAGGAGAGGAGGAGGAAGAAAGTAGGAGAGGAGAGGAGGGAGAGAAGGGAAAGGAAGAAGAAGGAGAAGGTCTGTTGTGAAATGAGGGAAAAGAAAAGGTAGAAGAGCAGCCCCGAATGCAATTAACGTGTCTTATTTATATGCTCTCTTTAGGAAAATACGTATATGTATGATTACTTGTGTATAAGAAAATGTACATTTACATTATTTGTATAAGAAATAATTTTTTTTTCAAAAAAATAAATGAATAAATATGAGCCAGTTGCCAAGCCTCTGAATTTTGATCCCTTGACCGTGGGGAAGCTACAACCGTCGCAAATATGAAAAATGGTCGTAAATCACTTTTTCCAGTGCTGTTGTACCTTTGAACGGTCAATAAATGAATGTGTCAGGTTTCGAGGTCGTCTCAAATAAATTGCATTTCAAACAAAGTCTTTGAAGTAAAACTCCCATTTATTAAGCATGACATTCTGAATCCGACTCCAACACTGATTTCCAGACCCAAAACCCTCCCTTTCCGTTCCCCACTCCCCTGCACTCATTGGCCATCTTCCAAGTCACTCTACCCCTAATCTACTGCTCCAGCTCAAAGGAATTTCCCCCCTCCCATCCCATCTCCTAGGGGATATTATCTCCAGGGAAAATAAGTAGGTGAAAAGTCAAACGTCCCTTTCCAGACGCCTCCGCTTCTTCTTCTTATGTCAGCACTAGAGTAAATGCAGCTTGAAGTGCTGACAGAATGGACTACCTGCATTTCTAAGAAGTCTATTTTGAATTTAAAAGTCTGTGCGGAGAAATTGAAAGAGGTCAGTAGAAAATTGATTCCCGGAGAGGGTGAAAAAAGGGAGATCTAAATGATTTCTATCTCCTTCGCAGATTCACGGACAGATTCATCTCCATCAACTTCAAGACTGTCCTTCTTTCCTCCACACAGCATTTTTGTCCAAGGAGAGGAGATGACCTTGAAATGTTCAGTTCCAGACACACATCAGCTACAGATTTTCTTTTTCCGTTGTAAAAATGAGTCCGGTTCTCCCATCCTGGAAAAAGCTCATCAGAGAAATACTTGGAATATCAGCACCGCACATCTGAATGAAACCCGGAAGCTTATTTGCAGCTGTTGGTCAAAAACCCACACTGGAACAGGGACAAAATGGTCCTATTCTCCACAAAGTGATTCCAGAGAGTTCTTGGTTGTTGGTAAGAGAGTTCCTTATTGCTAGAATTCATTGTTTAAGGACTGAAAATACACCGTGAACTAACATCACTAATACATCACTAATACATCACTAACCAATCCCAACAGAAACAGAGTAAAAAGAATAACAGAATAACAGAGACGGAAGGGGCCTCGGAGGTCTTCTAGTCCAACTCCCTGCTCAGGCAGGAAACCCTCTACCATTTCAGACAAGTGACTCAGGGGTGAAATTCAGCAGGTTCTAACAGGTTCTGGAGAACCGGTAGTGGAAATTTTAAATCGTTCAGAGAACCGGCAAATACCTCTTTTGGCTGGCCCCATAATGGGGTGGGAATGGAGATTTTGCAATATCCTTCCCCTGCCACGCCGACCAAGCCACGCCCACAGAAACGGTATGGAAAAAATTTGAATTTCACCCCCGAAGTGACTGCATCTAATAATTATCTTTTTATGTTTACATATTTAGCATATTCTCTAATGTTGCTCACAGACATGGAGTCTCAATTTAATATTCAAATATTACATATATAATGTTTTTTTTAAAAAAAAAAACCACGATTATGGCATAAACAATTAAAAAGAGATTGAAAAAAGTGCTAAAATAGAAAATAGAATATATGTAAGTTTAAAGAATGTACCCTAAACTAACCCTTTCTTTTGACTATAGGAACAACAGTTGCTGTCATCTAAGTATCTGGTACTTCAGGATTTCTGAAATACTAAAGGTGTCATCAATTGCATTATAAGAATAGAGTAGAGTAGAATAGAGTAGAATAGAATAGAATAGAATAGAATAGAATAGAATAGAATAGAATAGAATAGAATAGAATAGAATAGAATAGAATAGAATAGAATTCTTTATTGGCCAAGTGTGATTGGACACACAAGGAATTTGTCTTGTTGCCTACGCTCTCAGTGTACATAAAAGATACATTCGTCAAGAATCATAAGGTACAACACTTAATGATAGTCATAGGATACAAATAAGCAATCAGGAAACAATAAATACCAATATAAATCCTAAGGATACAAGCAACAAAGTTACAGTCATGCAGTCATAAGTGGAAGGAGACGGGTGGTGGGAACGATGAGAAGATTAAATAGTAATGCAGACTTAGTGAATAGTTTGACAGTGTTGAGGGAATTATTTGTTTAGCAGAGTGATGGTGTTCGGGGGGGAAACTGTCCTCGTGTCTAGCTAGGTGTTCTGGTCCGCAGCGCTCTATAGCCTCGTTTTGAGGGTAGGAGTTGAAACAGTTTATGTCCAGGATGTGAGGGGTCTGTAGATATTTTCACAGCCCTCTTTTTGATCCGTGCAGTATACAGGTCCTCCATGGAAGGCAGGTTGGTAGCCATTGTTTTTTTCTGCAGTTCTAATGATCCTCTGAAGTCTGCGTCCGTCTTGTTCGTTTGCAGAGCCAAACCAGACAGTTATGGAGGTGCAGATGACAGATTCCATCATTCCTCTGTAGAACTGTCCCAGCAGCTCCTTGGGCAGTTTGAGCTTCCTGAGTTGGCTCAGAAAGAACATTCTTTGTTGCGTTTTTTGATGATGTTTTTGATGTTGGGTGTCCATTTTAGATCTTGCTATACGGTGGAACCTACAAATTTGAAGGTCTCCTTCCCCGATTCCAGCAACCGTTCTTCGTGTGTTTTAGCCTCCAGCCACCTAATCATCTTTGTTGCTCCTCTCTGCACTCTGTCTAGAGCCTCAACATCCTTTTTTGTACCGTGGCGACCAAAATTGGATTCAATATTCCCAGTGTGGCCTTACCAAAGTACCGTAGTATATAGCAAAGTATATACAAAGCAGTTTAAAAGAAAGCTGGGTATTTCTAGCCGACGAAGGATGTGATGTCCATCAAGAAAAGGAAGGATTTTTTAGTTTCTTGATCCAAGAGTCATTCATCCCTTCTGAAAAGCAGCAGCATTTTTCTTATTGTTTTCACTCCAAGCCTGTCCCTAATCAAAATTTACTCCTCTGATCCAGAAAAGAAACTTCTCAGACTACTTAGCATAAATTGGACAGCCTGACGCCATTTTCATAAGCCAAATTCTCTTTACACCGACTGGGTTCATGAATTGGCTTCTGGTTAAAAGAGGAAGGAAGCCAGAACTCTTCATTGTTTCATCACTAATGATGTTCCTTGGTGATCCCCTGATCCCTGTGAATCTTTCCCGCAGAGATCCCTCCTCCCCCGCTGCTAAAATTGGATCCTTTGTCCCAGAGAGAGAAGGAAGGGGACTGCCTGTTCCTCCTTTGCTCGGCTGAAGGAAGCCTCACTGAGAAGGAGTTCCATTTCTACAAGGATGGGGTGGAGATCACCTCCAGTGAAGAAGGCCTTCTGGAACCTTCCAGGGAACCCACAAATCCTCTTCAAAGGGCCTCTCTGAGAATCCCTCATGCCTCGTTCAGCCACAGTGGGGAATTTGCTTGCAGTTATGAAGAGAAGAGAAGCAACCGATGGGTTACGTCTTCTTGGAGTCAGGGGACAAACATCACAGTTGAGAGAGGTAGGAGGAGATTTGGATGTGGTTAAATCTTGAGACCACCATGAGAGGCTAAACTAGGAAGGACAAAGAAAGTCCTGGAGAAAGGCAAGTGGCTTTTGTGGGATTGTTAAGAAGCTCCACAGAGACGTCCATGAAAAATCCAGAACTGAGCTTGATTAAAAATAAAAGGGAGGGGGGGCTTTTTCATTTGTAGATTTAATAGAATTTAAACCTTAAAGAAAAGAGCAAAATAAGATGCTCTGCCAAGAAATACTAAATCATCCTTTTTGTTTCTTGGTCAAACCAGTTGGTACCCAAGATTTAGATCCTATATGGAGATATTCCCGGATAACGATTCCTCTTATAATCCTGCTGGTTCCACTTGCCTTTTATTGCTGGAAGAAGAGGAGCAGTAAGTGAAGGCTTTGGGTTCAAGGGTTCTCTCACCTGGAGTCCTAGGTGGCTCCTGATGTGGTTGGAGATGTTGACTGAGAAGGGAAGAACCAGGCCTGGATTTGAGAGAGACAGGCAAACAATACACGAGGAAGATGGAAATAAACCATTTCATGTTTCTCTTTATTTTTATTGCTGCTTTGGAAGCATCTCCACCCAAGGAACAATCTCAGCTTGCAGAAAAGAAAGAGGAAGCAGGTGACCTTGGAATGATGGAGCCTCCAGCAGCAAGAGCAGCTACACCTTCCCCTGTCAAGGTAGCTGGTGGGATTAATGAGGGACTTAAACCCTGTCCAGAGGAAAGGTCTCTTCACAATGGAAAGTGAAGTTATGTTCCTTCAATCCCCACCAATGACTTAGAGTCATCCGACCGTCATTGTGTAGAGACGAGACGGAAACAGATGGGCTGTAGAGTGCCTGAACGATGCTGTTATAATGTTGGAAGATAGCTGGATTTTAACAATTTCAAGCTCTTTCCATGTTCAATTCTCTTGATCTCTGTGAATATCTGGTCTTAGTTTCTTGACTTGTTTGATTGCAAGCAAAGAATAAAGGCATTGTAGGACCTTGTAGTACAAATTATACGTTGGCCATAAAATTAAATGGTCTTGAAGCCCACAGAAAAATACAAACGGAAAGAAATATTTAAGAAGACTAAGCATCTTAGAAGCCGTTAAAGATCCTCCTAATATTGGCGGGGAAAATTTTAGGGGAATGTGCTTGTAGATTTCGCAAGAGCATCTCAACACCATCAGCAATCTGAGAGAAGAAGCTAGACTGGGTCAGGACTGATGCCGAAGGTCAATCCTTCTTTTCCTTGATGGGCTGGCCATCTTTCTAGGCCCTAGCAGATATATCCATCTTATGTATTTCTAAAAATGCTGCAAAATGATGGAGAAATCCCATGTTTTAAATTTCTTCCTCATCTGCCGGCAGATTGAACAATGTCTTCTCTTTCCCTCACTTTCCCCAGGACTCTGAGGTCACCTACTGCAACATCCCGGACTTCTTCACTCCGTCTTCTCCTGGACGAACCAGGAAGAATCTTCTTACTCAAGAGAAAACAGGGAAGACATTGTACTGTAACCTTAATGTGTCTCAACTCAAAAAGAAGCAGCAAAATCATCCCTGATTGCAGCAAATTGTGCCTCTCTTGGTCCAGTCCCTTATTAGGCCTAAACATGGACATCACCCTTGAAGAGATGATGAGGGGCAACTGAGCTTCAGTTTACGGCAGAAGAGAAAACCCATCAAATAGGGAAAAATCCTGGGCATAATCTTATTCTAGGAGTCTGTCAGGGAATTGCGCAGCCGGTGTTCCAAATGGAGTCAGAGACGCTGACACAAACTTGTAGTTTTATATAAATAAATATATTTTTCAACTACAGGTAGTACTTGACTTACAACAGGTCGTTTAGTGACCATCTGCTGTCACAACAGCACTGAAAAAAGTGACTCATGACAATTTTCCACACTTAAGGCCAATGCAGCATTCCCATGGTCACCTGACCAAAATTCAGAGGCTTGGCAAATGACTCATACTTATGACGGTTGCAGAGCCCCAAGGTCACGTGATCCCCTTTTTCAACCTTCTGACAAGCAAAGTCAGTGGGTAAGACAGATTCACTTAACAATCCTGTCATTAAATTAACAGTTGAAGCCAGTGGTGGGTTACTCCCGGTTCTCTCCGGTTCTTGCGAACCGGTAGTAAAAGTGGTGGGAGGCTCCGCCCACCTGCCCTGATGTCATATTTGGTTATCTGCGCATGCGCAGAAGCACTCACGAGTGAAGCGATCGCACACACTCCCGTTTTAAACCGGAAATAAAGGTGAATAGAACCCACCCGTGGTTGAAGCCATTCAGTTAAAAAATGCAGCAAGAAAGGTCGCAAAATGAGGCAAAATTCCCTTAACAAATGTCTCACTTAAAAACAGGCTCTATTGTGGTTGAATGTTGAGGACTCCCTAAATATATACAGCAAAAAATAAATAAAAAATAGGCAGGCTCAACAGGAGCTTTGTGAGGTAAATCACAGAGCACACAGAACTCACAGAAGAAAAAGGCGGGAAAAAAGGGAGCCTCCCCCTCCACACCCCAGGAACCAATCACAGCACAGATTGCCTCACGCAGGAGCAAGCAGTCTTCAATCAATCAACTATAAATGTGTGTTCTGGCTCTCTGCACAACCCCATGGAAATTTCATTTATCTTAACAGAGTCTCTATCTCAGTATAGACTTGAGCCTGCTGGGAAGATTTCCATTACAATTTCTTCTCTTCACAACATACCCTTTTTTAAATCTTCTTCATAACTGATACTTTAATTTACAGTGGCAATCTAATCATTCCCCTATATCCGTGATGGCGAACCTATGGCACGCGTGCCACAGGTGGCATGTGGAGCCATATCTGTGGGCACGCAAGCGTTGCCGTAGCTCAGCTGATTTTCGGGTCTTCCCGTCCCACTGGAAGTCAAGAAATGGGCCATTTCCGGCCTCTTGAGAGCCTCTAGGAGGGTGGGGAAGGCCGTTTTCACCCTCCCCAGCCTCCAAGAAAGCCTCTGGAGCCTGGGGTGGGCGAAAAATGGGACTACTGGGCGCACCGTGCCATCGCGTGCCAAAAGCAGGGGTCACACGGTGGGGTCGTGCGCATATGCATGGGGGCGGGGCGCTTTGAATTATGGGTGTGGGCATGCACCGTGGGGAAACCCTCCATTTCTGAATTTCCGAATTCACTTTCTGGTCTGGTTCTGGATGAGTCCATGATGGAGAGTGGAGGTCTCTGCAGATGAATGGTGGGTGGGGGTCCCTTCGTCGAATCATTGTAAAATCCAGAATGTAATTCAAGAGGATTCAAAGGTTTTATCAAGAACGGTTTCTGGATCCCCACATTCACTCTACTCCGGGTAAAATCATTTTTAGAAACTATTATTCTTTCGATTTACTAGTCTAGGTTATTTTGTGCCTCAATTCCAAAGTTCTTGGAGATATATAATATACATCCTAGGAGAAATTTTAAATCTTTACTAAAATGAGATGACAGTTTTACTGTGCTTCAAATCCATCACAAAGAAGATAGTAATTCTGGTGTTTTAGACACAAACAGTTTCAAAAAAAATGTTTGCAGAGCATATTGCTTTTTGGAAATCTAATTTTTTCATAATTAATTCTTTCATCGTTTGTTTTATTCTATCTGTCTACGGATCCACTATGCGTGGCTTAGGACAAGAAGTGGGGCTGACCAAGCCAGAAACACAGAGATGGCGTTTAGGCCTTGCAGAAGAGCAGAAGAACAATTTTTCTTTCAAATTCTCTTGGGGCACAAGAGAGGCCAGGAGGATGCGGGCAGTTCTCTGCTGCAGAGAGAAAGGCTTTGGTGTGGTGAAGAAGGCCGGGGAGCCAAGCTCTGTCCTGGGCTGGGGGGCGTGGGTGTGATGTCCTCACAGGGGATGACGCAGTTCCTTCCTTGGCTGTTGAGTTGGAGGACTGACTCAAGAGAAGCTGCAGCTCTTCGTCTCTCTGGGGAAGGAAGACGAGAGTGACGGAACCCAAGATCGGCTTCCCACGAATCCTGAAGAGAAGATGGAGACCATCACTCGGATGACAGGTTTGAGACCTCCTTCCTTTTCTACTTCCCATCTCAATCTGACTCTTCTCCTTGCTTTACTCCCATGTTCTTTTCTTATTCTAGATCCTTCTAGAGGGGGATGCAAAACAGTCTCACCCTTCCTCCTTTCAGAAGCACTCAGAAGGTGACCCAAAAGTGCAGCTTCATGGTCAATTAGATAGATAGGAAGTTGGGGGAATGGATGAACAAAGAAATGGCTCCCTTTTCTCCTTCCTGCTCCTCTCAAATGACTGAGGACATCAGAACAGCTGAACTTTGAGAGAAAACCCTCTTTGGCCCTTGAAGGTCTCCATATCTGCTCGTAATTCCAGCCATAATAAGGTTTGGGGACTCTTATGCCCCACCTCCCTCAATAGCCAGAACATGGTGGGAAAAGACCCCTTCCTCCTCCTCCTTCAGGGCAACATCTCACCTGCTGCATCCATTCAGGGAAGAAGATTCAGTGGAGGATGAAAGTTTTGCCCAGCCTGGGATCATCTCTCCTTCTTTTAACTCCACCTTCCCTCCTTCTCTCTTTCAGTCCTTTCATGGATCCTCCTGGGAGCAGGTAAGAGACCTTCATGCAGAGTGGGCTTGTCTTCTGATTGTTGCGGCCTCTGAAGGAGGGAGAAGGTCCAATGAAAGCGAAAGCCCGAAGTGTGATTCAGAAGGAGAAAAGTTCATCTCTGTGGGTGCAGTTGCTCTGCTCTTCTTTTCCACTGGGGTTAGTGCAGGGGTGAAATCCAGCAGGTTCTGGAGAACCAATAGTGGAAATTTTGAGCAGTTTGGAGAACCGGCAAATACCACCTCTGGCTGGCCCTAGAGTGGGGTGGGAATGGAGATTTTGCAGTATCCTTCCCCTGCCACACCCTTCAAGCCACACCACGCCCACCAAGCCACGCCCACAGAATCGGTAGTATAAAAAATTGGATTTCACCACTGGTTAATCCTATTATGCCCTAAAGATCATGTCCTGTCCTTCTTAATCCCATCACTCTGGAGTTGAAGATGTTTTGTTTATGAATAGATCGGCCTGGATTTCTTAATGGGCACAAAATCTCCATCTCTAAAGACTTCAGGCATCTGCTGGAGGCTGTTTTACTATGCAGGAAGACTGGGGCTGCTTTCTGCCTTTAAGACCATGTTTTCTCCATTTCTCTTCTGGGGAAATATAATATTCTACCTCTTTTAATATTCCCCAAAATATTTCATTCTCTAGAAGGGCAGGGGGGGCTTCCCACACTTGGATGGACCTTCATGCAAGCCATCAAGGGGAGAAGAACATTTCAACTTCTGTCCTGGCAAGAGGAAGCATTGGGTCAAGGATCCTCAGAGCAGATTATGGATGGGAGCCTTTCTGGGAATCAGGGTGGATTTTTTGGTGTAGAGATTTGGTTCCAGGAGAAGATCAGAAGGACGGACTCAATGGCTTCTCTTTCTTTCCTCAGGTTCACAGACAGATTCATCTCTACCAGCCCCCAGGCTGTCCTCGTCTCTCCCAAACAACTTTATTATTAAAGGAGAAGAGATTCCCTTGAATTGCTCCCTCCCCAAGGGAGTTGAATCAGGGAGTCCCAAGGGATCTCATAGAATAAAGTTCTTTTTCTACTGTAAGGATCAATCCTATTTATCAATTGAAGATCAACATCTCCTTAACAATACCTTCAATGTCAGGACTGAAAATCTGAGTTCTGACCAAATAAAGATAATATGTAAATGCAAGATTGGAGAAACATCTGGGTGGTGGCCTTATTCTCCGGAAAGTAACCAGCTTGTCTTCTCAGTGGTTGGTAAGATGAATATTTATTACCCCAAAATAATCATAGCAAAGGCTATCACAATGCTCAAGCTATGAAAATGTATCATAGATCTTTCAAAAATGAACCCGTAAACCCATCGCTAAATAAATAACACCTCCTGTAAGAAAATGGTTAGCAGGAAGTTCTTTCCATTGGAAAAATATCTCCCCAATGGTATATTATGGTGATGACAACATTGTGAGAACAGTTAGAGAAATAGTGAATCCTTTTCTACTCTTGTATGCTTCATATCTACCTACTTATACATTTTGTGTACTGCATATTACAGAAATTTTCTTTTCTTCAGTTGGAGGATTCAGTTGATGGGAAGGTAGAGGTCATGATTCCTTGATCTAGTTTCTCTGGTGTGTTATTTTCACACTAAAGCTACAGCAAAATTCATTTTCCTTCCTTATTTTCCATTTTAACCTCCATTATCTCAAATATCACTGCTTTGCCTCATAGAAATGGTAATGTTCTGTCCCCAACCACACGCACACACACCAACAGACGTTCAAGAGTTAAAGACCAAACCAGCCCGCAAAATCGTTTTCCTTACGGAACTTGGCAACAACCTAGTGGCTGCCTGCCTGCCAAGAGTTTATTATTTACGAAGGGGAGAGATAACTTCTTCCCGCTTCTGGTACATCAAAAGAAACAGCTCAATAATTACGGAGTCAATCAACTCCAGAGATAATCCAGCAAAGTTTATAACAAAAGTCTGGCAATGCAGAATGGCATGGAAGCTTTCAGCTTTGTTCATCACAAGGTTTGACTGGCTACCACACTCCCTTTTATATCCTTTGGGGTGTGGTCCAGTGACTCAGCCTAATCTCGGGCACGCCCTTTCTTCTGTTGCGTGCGCTTATCTCTGCAACGCCGGGGTGGATCCAGCCAAGACTCATTAACCTCATCACTGTCCATCTGTGGCTGCATGGACGTGTTTGGCCCCGGCCCTATCTCTTGCCCTTCGGCGGACACCGAAGGCATTGCCAGAGAGGAGGGTCCTGGAGAGGTAGGCCTT